AAAAAAAAAATCATCGAAGTTTGTGTGGGGAAGAAGAAAACCACATCTAGCCTAGATAAAGAATAAAGACTCAATATGTCCTGATACAAATTGATACAGTACCTGAACTGCCACCAAGATAAACCAACCAGTGCTAATGAGGGGAGCCTGCTGGCTAAGGTTTCTTTTCTTTTTAAAATAGACTTTAGTTTTTAGAGCAGTTTTAGGTTCACAGCAAAAGTGAGCAGAAAGTAGAGATTTCCAATACACCCGCTGGCTCCACACGTGAATAGCACCCTTATTATCAACATCCCCCACCAGAGCGCTACACAGTGTTACAACTGATGAACCTGCATTGACATTATCATTATCATCCAAAGTTTATAGTTTACGTAAGGGTTCGGTCTGGGTGTTGTACAATCTATGAGTTTGGACAAGTATAATGACATGTATCCACTATCACAGAATCTCATGCAGAGCAGTTTCATTGCCATAAAAATTCTCTGTGCTCTATTCACCCTTCACTCCCCTCTAACTCCTGACAAGCACTGATCTTTTTACTGTCTCCGTAGTTTTGCTTTCTCCAGAATGTCCTATAGTTGGAATCACACAGTACAAAGACTTTTCAGATTGGCTTGTTTCACTTAGTAATGTGCATTTAAGTTTCTTTCATCTCTTTTCATGATTCAATAGCTTTTTTCTTTATTTTCCCAAGAGACCCAACAGAAAGAAATGAGAAGATAGTTCATTGCTTTTCAGCAATGACTAAATATTCTACAGTCTGGATGTACCACAGTTTATTTGTACCTACTGAAGGACATCTTAACTGCTTCCAAGTTCTGGCAATTATGAATAAAGCTGCTGTAAACATCTGTGTACAGGTTTTTGTGTGGACATAAGTTTTTAACTCCTTTGGGTAAATACCAAGGAGCACAATCACTGAATCTGAGGTTTCATTTTAGCACGTGAAAACAAGCTGACTAAACCATGTCGCTGAAATTAAACCCCAACACAAGACTCAAGAGAATTTCTAATTCATCCTGCTACAGTTGAATAAGTTCCCAGAAAAAGATTTCTCCAGTCAAAATGGCCAAACCTATCTTCAGAAGATAAACTTTACCAGCAAAGAGTCAGACATAATGAGTTCAAACTATATCTACCACTTACTGGCTATTACTGTTGCTTTCGGCCAATTGTATCTCCCTGAGTCTCAATTTCCTAATGTACAAAACAGGATGATAATCCTTAACACAAAGAAGTGTTATAAAGATTAAATAAGATAACGTTCAGAAAGCACTGGGCAGGCCGGGCGCGGTGGCTCACGCCTGCAATCCTAGCACTCTGGGAGGCCAAGGCGGGCGGATTGTTTGAGCTCAGGAGTTC